TTCAAGGAAAGACTTGCTGCCCAGCAGCTGGGAGTGTGGTCAGCCTCCAGCTGTCAGCTGCGTCAAGGTTGGCCTCAGCTATAGACCTGAGGTCATGCTTTTTTGGAAGCCTGAATCCAGTACAAGCAAGAAGAGAGGAAGTGGTACTGAAGGGTAAAGGCCTAACAGCTCTGGTGGGCAGTTCTGACTCCACAGCTCCCTGCCAAGTGAGCTGAGGTTTTGTCAGCCCTGCTTTGCAATTTGACTTGTCTCTTGGTCCAGTTCTGTTTCCACCCCCTTCTTTTCACAGATGTTGATCCCTTCATAAACCTCTTGGACTCCAAATTTCCTCTCAGCATCTGCTTCCAAAGAACATAACCTGCAACACACCCATTATATATTCAATAAATATTTAATGAATGAATTAAAAATTCCTTTCCCCAAAAAATGTTCCCATTAAGACAAATATTAATTCCTTTGTCTTAGTGCTTCTGCTCTTGTAAACACTTATGAGGTAATTAGCATGTTTCACTTATTGTTAACTACTGTAAAGGAAGCCCTGAGGGCACATTCTGATAGGAAGAAAAGAAGAGAAAGCAGGAGAGCAATGGTCAAAAAGCATGGAGAATTAAGTTCCTGGATCCAGTCCTCATTCTACCATTTGCTAGATGTGTGCCCTTGGACAAACACCTCAGAGGGCTGTTTTGAGAATTAAATGAGTTAAAATGTAAAAATGTTTTGGCTAGTGAATGGCATGAAGTAGAGCACCCAATGCCTATTAACTATTTCTATTTCTAACTTCATATTTTTGCTATCGAGCAGGCCTAGCCATATGTAGACATTAAATATCAAGTCAGGAAAGATGAAGAATGACAAGAATAAGTGAATGAATACAAGCACTACTAATAATACAGTCAGAATTATATAATTTATTGTAACACATTCACCTTCAATCTAGTCTGGGAAATGGGTTTTTATAATCTCTTGCATATATTTACATCACTTGAATTACCACATTGCTTTATAATTACCTGTTTTTGTATCTATTTCCCCCCTCACTTCACCATTGTAAGATCCTCAAGGGTAAGATATTTCAACGCATGAATCCTTCTGTCCCCTTTCCTTTATCTATTCACTTATTTCTTCATTCATTAAACAAATAGTAAGCACATGTCATGTGTCAGACACTGCTTTTTGGCAATAAAACAGCAAACAAAAGTTCCTGCTCTCTGAGAGCCTACATGCTGGTGGATTACAATAATAAATAAACAAATAGTCACTATGTTGTCTAATGAAAGGTGCTATAAAGAATTACCCAATGCTGAACTCAGAGTGGATTTTCAGCAAATGTTGAATTAACTCATTTAACCAAGAGAAAAAAGAAATAAGAGCCAAAGGCCAATAAAAGACATTGTAATTGTTCTTTCTGCTCAACTCAGAATGGAAGAGCTATGTAGGACACAGATGGCTGGGACAGAAGACACTCACTATATCTTTTGCAGTTCAACTACTCAGAAGCTAAGCAAAGTAAAACTAATGCAGAAGAGCAGGGGAATCTTGGAGGTCACTTAAAGGTGAACATTATTTCCTTATTTATGTTACCTGGGTGCGGCTTGCATGTAAATTTTCACCCTCAAAAATTTTTCGCCCCTGTGATTATAGAAAGATTCCATTATACCAGCAGAAAAGCAGCTCAAATTTTCAATGACCCTATTAATTATCATTATCATCACGATCATCATCATTACCATAACAGGCAAACATTATATACCTATTTAAGTCACCATAATGCTATAGTCACCCTTATCATTCTCCTGTCTATATCATCGTTTTGAATACATCCTTAAGACAAAATGAAAATGGCACCTTCACTGTCACATGCAATGATTTACAAATTCAACTTCTCCTTGGTTAACTGAAGGACAATCTCTTCTACAAATGAATAGCCAAATAACACTAAATTGCTTCAATATACTTTGATCTCTTCTTATAAATACCTTGATCAATGTAAGCTTCTCACTTCTCCCTTAATGTCTCTCCTGTAAGTATGGCCTTAAAATCTGAAGACAGTTTGGCAAAATTCAGGGCACTTTTTTCTATTCAGAAAATCTTACAGGTTTTACATTAGACTGTCTTATCCAAAGTAGTTTTTTTATGTGTATAAACAAAGCAGATGAGATTAGAAGGAAACAGCACCCTAAAGACTGCGCACCACCATTACTGCTTTGTTCCCCTGTTGGAACAATGGATAGTAATGCTCTTCATCATCATATTCACCCTTTGAAGTCCTGTCCAACTCCCTGAATCCACCCTCCACCATGACCACACTATCACCCTTCTGCCATTCCCTATCCACCCAACATTTCTTTCCACCAATACACATTTTTGCTACCACTTCTGATACCAGGTTTTGAAAGGAGAAAATGATAAACAACTTCCTAATTCTGTACTCTCATTTAAAGTCTCTCCCCTTTTCCACTGGTTCTTACTCACCATATCTCCAGCTCACCTCTGACCTCCACTGCTCCCCAGCCATTTCATCGCTAACTTGGCCTGCGTCAGAGGAATGATTCATAGAATCATAAAACTCAGGGTGGAAGAGATCTTAAAGGTCAGCTAATTCAACCACTCAGCTAAGTGGAAAAACCAGCTCTTATTTTCATTCTTTCTTCCCGGACTTCCCAAACTCAATTGCAAACATAAGAACAGTGTGTCTAGCTGTTATGAATGCCCTTTTTTGGGTATCTTTTTAAAACCAAGGTAGATGCCTCTCTTGCTGAGATAGTTTAGGTAGAGTCCTATCAACAGTAGACAATGGCTTACAAATGAGGAAACCTACAATCTTTTTAATACAGAGCTGGTCACTCTTTCAAAAAGTGTTTTTGAAGGTGAGCATATTTATTTCAATTACTCCATTTATTCCATAGGACCACTAAATACTCTTCTCAGAAAACATAAATAGACAATTCATCAAGAAAAGATTTAAAAATGGTCAATAAACATATTAAAATGTAATCAGCTTCATTCATAATAAGATAAATAAATGTCAATTAAAATTGCAAAGACATAATATTTCCCTTCTATCATATGGTAAAATTTTAAAACAGGCATCATACATTTCCAGTGAGTGTGTACAGAACCTTTATGGATGGGGATTTGGAATATCTAACAGAACTACATGTGTGTTTACCTTTTGACCCAGCAATCCCACTTTCAGGAATTTACCCTGAAAATATAGCACCAAAAATATAAAAATATATCTGTACAATATTATTCAGATTATTCATCATAGTATTGTTTATAATTTTTAAATATTGGAAGCAACCTAAATGCCCATATAGAGGAGAGCAGTTGAGTAAATGATGGCACATCCACACAGTGGAGTACTATATAGTGGAAAGAAAGGATGTGCACCATCTCTAGGAGCCAATGCAGAGTGCTCTCCAGGATAAATTGTTAAATGAAAAAAGATACCTACAGTAAGTTATTTTTGTGTAAGAAAGAAGAGAAATTTAGAAAATACGCAAGTATCCACTCATTTGTGCACAAAGAAACACAGGCAGGATAAAATGGAAACCCACAAGACTGAATGCTTCATATACTTGTGAACACAAGGAAGGAGGAGGATAAAAAATGGAATATAAACAAATGAGCCAGTTTGAGGGGGTCAGACGGGTGAATTTACTCAAATCACTTTTAAGTAGAATAGTTGGACTATATACCTTCAGACTAAACACAGAAAGAAGTATTAACAATTATTGAAGCCCAATCAGCAGGATTTTTTTTTTCTCATAGATATCTATAGGTTAAAATTCTGAAACTGCTTTCTGTATATTTTAGGATTAAGCAAATAAGTAAACATGTTGTGGTCAATGGAAGCCAGACTTCTCATTCACTGACAGAGTTACAAATGTGGAAATGAGGAAAATCTGAATGATCCCTGTGACATTTCCCAGCTCTGTCTGCTGAGAAGGCCTTGGAGCAATGACACCCATTCTCCTCTTACAAAACAAAACAAGTCTGGGGCAGGGAAAGTACAGCTTGAGTCTGGAATATCTTTTCAGGGCAGAAAGTAAGAAAGTGCTCTAAGAATGATGTAGGGACATATCAAAAGGACAAAGAAGACAGCTTGAAACGCTACTCAGTAATTAAATCTTAGAAATCTAAGCATCAAAATTATGATGGTAACTTATTATCACCCACTGAATAAAATAAGAATCCATGAGTCTATAGTGATATACATACACATATGAAGAGAAAGCTCTTCCTTATGGTACAAAACTAATTAATCAATGTGAAAGAAATGATGGACTTGAAAAGTCACCATTTAGCATCATTGAAATAGCTGATTCCGCTAAGAATAATTAATGGATGCTAAACTACTATGTAAAAATTGATGAGTAACAAAATCTCAAAGTCTCTCCCATAAGATACTTAATTACCTTGATAAAAACAGTAACTTTTCAATGGAGAAATCTGGCAGACAACATCTTATCCAAATGATCAAATATCATCAGTAATGGTGCACATTGACATCACATGCCCCCTGATAGGAAACAGTGAAAAGGATACAGCACCTCTTCTGTGGAATTATTGATGAAAATGCATAACCTAAATCTAATCATAAAGGAAACATCAGACAAATTTAAATATACTTCAAAAATGTCTGTGTCAGAAAATACGAAGCAAGATTGAAGAAATTGTTCCAGGTTAAAGAAGACTAAACAGAATGTAATGTGAGATCTGGCAAGTTGTTTTGCTTTTGTGTTTGCTTGTCTGTGTTTTATAAAGGGAATTACTTAGAAAATTTGAAAACTCTGTTTCTTAAATAATAGTTATGCATTAATGTTCAGTTTCTGATTTTGATTATCACACTGAGGCATCATATCTGCAACTTCAAATTTTTATCTTTTTGAGAATCTGAGTGAAGAGCATAGGGGAATCCTTTGTAATATTCTTGCAACTTTTCCGTAAGTCTGAAAATATGTCAAAATAAAACATATAAGGAAAAAGACTATTACCCTCATGTAGTTGATCCCTCCATTCCTTTTGGTCATTTACCATATGCTCCTCCTCTGCTTCATCCTACGTTCCATTCTGTGGGGTCTTCCACCCACTCCTCCTGGTAACAAAATTGAGAGTTAGGGTGGAGTGAGCAGCCTTTTGATTCTTCAAACTCTCAGATGTAAAAAGTAGACATGCTTTTTTGTTGCTTCCATTTACCAAAACCATCCTTCACACAGAGCTGTAGTTGTTACAGGTACATATGCTCCTCTCATTATGTCACCTATGTGACTGCAAGAATACAATGTAGGACATTTGGGCCAATTCCAATTCAGAAGGCCTTTATGGAAAAAGTAGTAGTTACCAAGTTTTATGGGTACATTCTACAGATATCAAAGCTAAAGGAAATGCTCCTCTCATGGAACAGTGTTCTCAGGAAAGAAAAATGTGGTAAGTGCTTATAATAATAGCACTTATAATTGATTTATATACTTTGTGTCAAGGTAACCCAAAGGACAGCACAACTAACCTCATAGAAGTTGATAATTAAGTCATAGAAGCAACAGACGAAAAAGCTATAAAGGACTCTTAAGCTAATTGCCTTTGTCAGACCAACATCTTAAATCTTGTCTGTGGTATTCCTGACTGGTGAGCATGGAAAGGGATGTAGTGTCATCTCTGTGCCATGGAACTAACTCCAAGGCAGGGTCAGGGAAAAGACAGGGAACTGAGGCTGGAGAGAGGTGACCAGACCAGCAGATCTAGCCTTCTACCTCCATCCACCCAGAGTGCCCCCACTTTATCTTCAAAATACAGACTTGCCACATAATATTTAATTTGATAAAAGTTATTGGTGCTAAAAAAAATGAACTGAGCATGAATTTTAGCATATGATCTCTCGTATTGATGTGAGTGAGCAAGTGTTTCCAACTGGAATGTAATTCCCAATACCTGGCATCTAGGTAGGTATACAAAAAAATTGCTCAATAGGCTCTGCTAACAAGAGTTGGCTTATGTAAAAGGATAATTATTGCTGCAACATTCATAAGGGGGAACACTGATATGACTTAAACATCAACAAATGGTTAGATAAATGCTAAGCTGAGCCTTATTTTGAATGTTACGAAGGGATTTTTTTAAGGAGGTAGATTTATATGTGCTCATATAGACAATTGTCCCAGATACACTGTCAACTGTAAATATAATTTTATTAGCATTACAATGCTAGTGAAGTGTGAATCTTGATTTACAAACACTCATACACAAGAAAGGTGATTTTTAAAAATAACAAACTTTATTTTTTAACCTTATTTTTATGTGGTAACAAAAAATTAATTCCTAATAGTACATTTGAGCTCCAGGAGGGCTTATCTAGAGCCAAGATGTGGCTGAAGAGACATCTTGTCCTTCTATCAATACTGGTATCCTCGGATCCATTCTCATCCATCTCTCATCCATCTTAGGATCATGCCAGTTATTTCTGCGTCCTCCCCTTCCCGGGTCTGGTTCTTCCAGCTATTTCCATGCTCTTCCCAAGAGTCATTCCTTTCATGCTAGGCTGTAGGAAATTCTGAGGGACTGTGTAGAGTCAACTGGGGCTAGACACACTCCACTGGTATTTCTTCTGCTCCCAGGGCCTTGCCGTACCCCCTGCCTTCAAATTCCCTAGACCTGCTTTAGTCCTGTCTCTTCCCTACCAAGCTCACCTGGGTTGGGGAGACGGGGCAAAGGACCCTCTTTCTCAGGAACCCTCAAGAAATGACACTTCATACAGTTGTGTGATTTTGAACACTTCACAAAGATACTTGTTTGGGCATGAACAGGACTGAAATCTAGAAAGTCAGACCCTTGGCATGGGGCCAAGGCTGCTGGAAGTGGGGGCTTCTGTCTTTCTACAAAGGTGCTGTCAGCCATCTAAGCCACTGCCCCTGGGGAAGACCCGTGCAACAAGGCAGTTTATTGTAATTCATTCACCAAAACGTAGCCTTTTTCTAATTTTCAGAAAGAAACAGCATAAGCTGCCACAGGTCCTTTCTTCCTCTCTGCAACTTTTTCTTTTCCCAAGAATTGAAATCTTTTTTATCTAGTCTTGAAATCTCTCAGACTTCTTCTGGCTTATCATATATTCTCCCAAATCTCTTTCTTTCCCTGTATCATCTTCTATTCTCACAAAGGACAGAAACTCAAAAACTTGAGACTCAAAAGTTGTTGACTCTTTTTTATTATTGCATCCAGTTGGGTCACCTTTTCCCTGAGGCAATGAGTGCAGAATGTGCTAGCTGATGGAATGGGTGAAAGGCCCAGACCACCAGGAAATACAATGGGGAAGAAAAGAAAAAAACCTCAGTTAATATTTCAAAATGTCATCTGCCATTGTGTGTGCTTAGTCTAGTTCTGGAAGGCTACATACCTCCCTAAATGGTTAGCAGTAATTCCCCTTAGGAGTGCTTTGGATATGAGACTTCTATTCTTTGCTATATCAGTTTCTGCATTTGAATTGTTTTATAAGGAGCTTATGGACTTCTGCAAATTTTTTTTGAAAGACAAACTTTTCTAAAACTGGAAAAAAGGAATGTTCCTGTGTACTTTCAGTGATGGTATTCAGAATTATAACCTATTAGCCCTCCCTTCTCATGAGTGTTTCATGGTACACCTACCCCTCTACAGTAGGGTTAATCTGTGTTTAAGCTCTTGCACATTGTTTAAATGCTGACATCAGTGTGAGTTATGGGAATGGCAGTATTAACTGATGGAAACAATATGGATTAAAAAGACTATAATTTGCATAATTTAATATGATTTACCTCCCAGGTGGGGCTACAAAGCATCCCATGACTGGAATATGGATTTCCCACTTCCTTTCACAGATGACAAAGGGCCGACACTTAACACATAATAAGAGTGAATCCCAAAGGGAAAAGGTGGCCCAAAGTAACAGAGCTGCGAGAGCTGGGAGAGCTGGGATTGAAGCTCCAGGCCTGCAGATGTCAGGCCAGTGCTCTTTCTGTGCAGAACATGTGTTCTCAGTTTGGGCTACTTCTCTCCTTTAATGAATACAGTGAGAATGGTGAGCAGAGGCGGATTTATGTGAATGAAGTGTAAGCTTCAGACACCTCGTTTGCATGGGCCCTTCTAAGATCCTGGGAGGACTGTAGTATTGGGTTCATAACGGCACATGATTTTGTAAAATGTGCAAAGTAATATTTCTTTTCAGAGCAATTGGTTAAGTTCACTGTCTCTTTCCACTGCAGCTTCCCCTCACCCTAGGTGGCACCGGGTGGCCATATGCTTTTTTAGGGAGAAGTAAGGGGCAGTTGATTAAGCTGCAGATACATACAGCTTCAGTACATTGTCATATATTTACATGGTTCACAGTTACTTCCATGAAAGCTATTGCCAGCTATCCCAAGGTGGGATAGAATCTAAGAACACCCTTGCAGCCCCCTGTGTCAACTCTCCTGGTCTCCTGACACAAAGGGCCAGAGGTTGATCCCTACATAGCTTGGCTCTGACAGGATGTGGTGGTGGGCAGAAAAGGTTGAAATGTATGGAGCCAGAAGCTAAGCTGCAGAAAATTCTTCCAATCATCGAGTGCATAAAATTTTAACAGAAGATTTGGTTCTCATGAATATCTAATCAAAACAGATGTTTTCTCTTGTCAGGAATATACTTGAGAATGCAGGATATACAATTATAAAAGCTTCCCATTTCTGTTTATGGCAATTGTGTGAAATGAAATTTACCAAAATTGCTAGGTTTGAAGGGAATAGATCTGTAACTACAACAATTCAACAACGTAACAAGAGGTTACCCAATTTGACAATTATAAAAATGTACATATTAACTAATAATGATGGGGCTAAAATTTTATAACTGTTTATGGCAATTGTGTGAAATGAAATTTACCAAAATTGCTAGGTTTGAAGGGAATAGATCTGTAACTACAACAATTCAACAACGTAACAAGAGGTTACCCAATTTGACAACAATTATAAAAATGTACATATTAACTAATAATGATGGGGCTAAAATTTTATAAATTATCTGTAACTTTTGTAAAATATTCAGTCAACCCTCAATTATCTTTTTGTTCTCTCCACAGAACATAAAATTAATATTTATTAAAGAACCAAAGAGTATACAGCCAAACAGTATTTTTTGAAACTATTATAAAGATGTGACAATTAATTTAAAAATTGCTCCTTTTCAATTTTTTTGGTATTTGAGGCTCTATGGACTTTTTAAAATGTGTAATTTGTGTTATCTCTTTGTACCAAATTTGTATTCTTTTTATGAAACAGGGCCCCTTAAATTGTATGTGCTTTAGGAAGCCATTAAACCCAGATTCACCCCTGATGGTGAGCATAGTTTCAGGTTTTCTTTTGAAGCTTGCTTCCAGCAGCTCCTCTGAACCTTGCATTTTACTGACTTCCCATCCCACTTTCCTCTATTTCTCCTCTCCCTCAGCCTTAAAGGTAACATACACAGTAGCCTTCCCAAGATACCTTGTCAGAATTAATTGTTCTTTTTTCAGTTTCTATGGCAGCTGGTATTTGCCTCTGTCATCATACTGATCATAATCTGCCCTGAACTAATTTATTTATAAAATACATATTGAGGACCAGCTGTATGCTGGGTGCCATGCTGAGTCTCAGTGCCTCCCTTAGACCAGGCTTTGTCTGGGCTCCTGTATTCTTGGAGGCCCTCCAGCCACACCCCTCCAAATGGGCTTAGGGTATGCAAGGTCAAGGGGACATGCTCACCCAGATCATATCCTGGTTACCTAGGATTCCAGGATACCTTGGTTAAATCCACACTGAGTCTGCTTCTGTGTGGGCCTCCTTCCTTGGTCCTCCAGAGAGCCAATTTGCCTCTGGGCTACTCCCTCCTAGGGCCACAGGAAGCTGTTATTGCAGTGGAGGAAAGAGGAGAGGGTACAGAGCTTGAATGAAAAGCTGGAGTGTCCATGAACGTACACGTGATCCCACAAATGTAGGAGTTGTAATGGGACAAGCTAACAGTGCCAATTGTATTCATGCCCCAGATTCCACAAATGACAGCTATGGGTCTATTAACACTTTGGTTGGAATTCTCTATCTTGTTTTTATCCCAGAGGTT